TTTCACTTTGGCATTCACAGCATTCTTGGTGACGGGATTTCGTTTAATATATGTATATATAATAATATCTATGTACTTATTGATAACCATATATTTATTTTATACATTATTATGTAACATATGCATATACATATAAGATACAGTTTGTAAAAATCAGCGTTTTTTTACCTCTTTCTGTACAGCTACCTAATCTCCTCTGTACCACCCCAAGGTTAACTGGGAGATAATGCATTCGGCATCTAAAAGGCCTTTGTACTATTAGCGCATAAAGAATAAGTAAATAAATAAATTTTTAGAGTTCGTATACTCTTGTAATACCTACACGTCGTGTGTCATCGAAGCAAATATAATGCATATATTAATACCGTCAACAAGAACCGCTCCGGTGCTTATGCAAACTCTCTCGCGTTTTAAGCTGTGAAAGGGTAAACAGAATTTGATAGGTTTAGACAAGCTTGCAGTTGTATTCTGCAAATGAATGAAGCAGTGATAGTTTAAGACAGGCAGGGGATACCTTAGCCCTATTCTATGAGCCCGGGACTACAGGGCTGTCATGATGGGTACCTAGACCCATACTACTTAATTTGGTTAGTACTAAACGGTGTGTAAAATATTATGTGAATTATTTATTTATTTGGTATTATGCGAATATAAAACTTTGATAAGTGTTTTTTTTAAGTGAGAAGGTGGCAAGCAAGCTGGTGATTCACCTGACGTTAAGTGATAACCGCCACCCATTAACATTTGCAACTCCCATAGAGTTTTTAATGCGTTGCCACCACATATGACATAAAGTGGGCCCTAGCTACCTCACTCTTCAGACGAAACGCCACGTTAGATATATCATACAGCTGTCAGTTTAGTGTATTTGCACCCTATGGCGGACATTCCATTCAATATTCTCAATATAAATCTATGCGGACAGTATACACCAGAAGGGGACGTTTTTATGAGACAATAATCCGAGATTCGTGTACTTATTGCTAGTGATGCACGTTGAAAATGAGACAGTGGCTTAAATATCGACGACCGACTTAAGCCGGACTTACTTTTTATGGTGTTCGAGAATGATAGAATATGTAGAACCAACAGCACTTCACTGTAATTTTTATGTAGGCTATAAAATGTGACAAACACTATGTTGCTCAGTGTTATGATCTTTTAATTTGGTATACTCGAGCAACTGTAATTCAAATATCGGTGCAGGCACTAATTGTCAATTGCAATTTTTTTTTGTGAAAAGTAGGCGGTTCACCTGATGTTAAGTGAATATCGCCGCCCATCCATACATATCTGCTACACCCTAGGGTTTGCAGATGCGTTGACAACCTTTTTGTAAATTGGGCCCCAGCTACCTCACTCACCGGACGAAACAAGAAACGTAAGAATTGTCAAGTGCTGTCTTATTCGTGAGGAAAGAACCTCCGTATTTTCGAAATAATAAAGTAAATGAAATATTCTGAAGACACATGAACTTCACGTGTCTTCGGAATCGCCAATCTACAATTGGGTCGCGTGGTGACTTACGTGTCATTACCTTCCTCTGGTCTTTTGCAACGATAGTTCGAAAGAAGGATGTTGTCATTGCTGTTAGAATTTAAATTTTATTTTTATATGACGTTCTTCCTTCTTAATATAAATTTTATTATTTTGAAAAAAATGATTATCAATACATTCAATTCGTGTCGCATCACTACATTTATACATTACAACAGTTTACGTGACTCCAGTTCGATTGTCTTTTATTGCACTGCATAACGTACCGCGTACCTATCATTCGTTCGAAAAGCCTTAACACTGTAAAATCATATATACAGAAAGAGTCCTTGTTTTTAAAACGGGCTAAGTGTGAGTCGGACTCGCTCACGAAGGGAGGAGGAGGGGGGGAGCACCACTTAAATGTTTTCCATTCTTTTGTTTTGGTTTATTTCTTGTTATAGCGGCAACAGAAATACATCATCTGTGGAAATTTCAACTGTGTAACTATAACGGTTCATGAGATACAGCCTAGTGACAGACAAACAGACAGACAGACAGACAGGCAGCGGAGACTTAGTAATGGGGTCCCGTTTTACCCTCTTGGTACGGATCCCTAATAAAAAAGGTGTCCGCTTAATAAAATGTTTAGAATTAGAAGCTCAAACTTTGAGCTCTTTAAATTCCTCAAAATATGTTCGGGTAGTACAAAGTAAGGTTCACAAAATATCGGCGTAAATTAACACTATTTATTATACATTATTTACAAAAGTAGGTTTAAGTAATTCTATCATATTTCTACTACCTATAGTACAAGCGTTGCTTAGTTTGGGTATAGAGAACACTGTGTAAAAATGTGTCCGAAAATATTTATTTATTTATTTGTTTTGTCTGTTCAGGCGAAATACATATACTTGTTTATTATATTATTTTTTTATAGAAAAAATGAACGAAATCTTTTTCGCCGCTGTGGAAATGGAGCCCACGTCTTCGGAATTCGTACCCTGACGCTCTCGCTATAAGTTTTAACTTTCGTCTATAAGGTTTTTCTAATTAAAAAAAAATACAATGAATTTGCCCGCGGCTTAAATGAATAAGCTTAAATTTCTTAGTTAAGTAGTGGTCTTTAAAAGAAGGGCTTTGTTTAAATAATCCATTTTACGGATTTTGTTGGTGTTTATTCTGATTTCGAAATTTTTGTTTAAAACTTTAATAGCTTTGATGGTTACGGGACAGACTAAGTTATGTTACGTCTATGTTACAGTTAATCCGGTGTACCGTAAAATTTTTACATATATTTACGAAAAAATAAGCCCTTGATTACAATACGACAAGCCAAATCTCTTCCATCAAGGTAACTAAGCACGAAGCGCCTAACACAATCTTCGCTGCAACTCGCACTACTTAATTTGGTTGCTATTACATTATTATACAATTTACATAAGTTAGTAGGTAGTTTCTTTTAAGATTCATTGTGTTAACACTCTAAGCGCCTTAGAAGTCTTGAAAAGCTTCTGACTATATAGCAGGTATTTTAGGTAGATAAAAAATATATATACATTTCTTATCTAGCTAGAATACCTGGACTATTTCAAATCACTATTCTATGTTAACGTTCTATACGTAAACTTAACTCTTTTGTAATAAGCCCTTGTTTGGAAAGGAGAGCAAACTACATATCAAACATCGAGCAGGTACCGTTAATTTATCGCTGACTGACTGCTCCTATGCTCTTGGAAGGGGCGTTAACGCCTCTCATTTATGCGGGCTGGGTACGTCTCTTCCCGGTGCAGTCTAGACGCTCGGTCAGGTCGCGATCAGCTAGACCAAAGGACTCGTCAAACGAACATCACTAGGAACGTTGGAATCGTGTTACAAGCTTTCGCGACTTCAACTTATCGTATTATTCAGGCCGTAATATCACAATAAAATATACACAGCGAATGATAAAAGGTTGTTAATTTAAAGATATGTAATTTTTAGAAAATTAAAAAAGTAGTTAGGTTAGTTTTAATTCATTTTAAGCTACATTTTTGTTTATTGTTATTTCAAACAAATTATTGAATAATTTGTTTGAAATAATACATAAATGTAAATATAAAAGAAAAAAAGAAAATAACTAAATGGGAAGAAAGTTTTGTAGCAAATAAGACAATGCTGCATAACTCGGATTTAAACCCACGCGCTTAATTCAGACGCCTAATAACTGTGGTAACCTTTTATTTTACTTTAATGGCAACTGCCCAGTAATCGATGATATTATCATAACAATAGAAGAAGCTCTTAATAAATTTAATAATTACCGTATAATTACCTCCGCATCGGCACTATCAGATAATATATGATAGCGATAAAGCCCTGCCCAGCACAAATACAAAGTCTAACTTATTGCAGAATAATGCATTTTAATCTTACTTATGTTTTTTATAATGTATTTAAAAATAAACAATTCCTCACTTCATTTAAAATTTACGCGGTAGTTAGAGATAATCGATGCTGTCGCCATACATTTATTTCTTGTGTAATAAGGCATATATTAAATTAGCTAGTTTTATGGTCTGAGCGAAATTAGAGAATCTTGAAGTTCAAACTCAATCTTATGCTGTCGAGTGGAGAAATAAACAAAAATCAATATGAAAGTAATGGAAAATGTATTGTAAGAAAATATATAGTTAATTCTCAAGACAAAGTCCCGACATTTCGAATAATATAGCAACCAACTCACAGGACAGACTGAGTGAGATATTTGATATCATAATGTCGTGAACATCTGGAATTTAAAAACAAAACAAAGCGTGCTAGAATCCGTGAAATAGTTCTATCTAATAAGTATGCTTCTTCTAAATATTAAATAAAGATTTTTAATATCGTGATGATTATTTATTACGACATATTGATTAATATTATTTTAAAAATAGCCAAACAACTAAATAGAGACTAGGGACCAGTACTTGACTTGACACTAATCAAAGCATATATCTATAAGTATGAGTATTTATTTATATTTATATTGAAAAAGCCTCGTATGCAAACCGTAGCTTAGTGTTTTAATAACTGATTCTATAGCGCTGTGACATTCACATGATTGATGCTTTTCCCAATTTCAAACCATCCGAATGCGATAACGGCGACCTTCCTAATTCCTTAATGTCCTACTTTATCAACTGATCACATCAATATCGACTTTATGTTCTGTGACATAAGGCCATCGTGGAGGTAAAACGAATTATGTTGGCGTCAAAATGCACATGCGTCGGACACTCGTGCCTACGCCGTAGAGCCTCCACAGTCAGACGGCGTTCAACCGCCACATAACGCGCGCGTAGACCCCGTTACGAGAGCCCGCTACGTGACTTCGGAACTTTGTATACTTTTTGTAAAATTAACAAGTTATTTTTCTGCAAACTTTCGAATATTAATTTGCCGTATTTCGATGTTGACAATTTTATATTGTGCTTGTGCCATTCTGGAATTTTTCTTTCACAAATGACTTAGCGAATTAATAGTGAAAACTGCCCATTGCAATGGCACCACGCAGGGTGCCAACGGACTTGTTTACTGACGATGTGACGGACTATCTGAACTATTCGACGCAGCACCCGGAAGCGGTGTCGCCGAGGCACCACTTCCGCCACAGGAACCATTCGAGGGACCACCCGAGGAACCACAACGTCGTAGACATGATATCCAACTCGATAATGGAGGTGCTGAACACGAAATTCATGCCGGAGAGCAACGTGCTGCCGGATATGGAGCCGCTGTCGACGCACATGGACGGAAGACACCCCCTGCGGATGAACATAACGATGAACCGTTCCGATTTCGGGGTGATCAACGAGGAGTTTATGTACCGGCACAACAGCGCTATGACGGCGGTGTACTGCGTCGCGTACCTGCTGGTGTTCGTCGTGGGGCTGGTGGGGAACTGCTTCGTGATAGCGGTGGTGTACCGCTCGCCCAGAATGCGGACGGTGACCAACTTCTTTATCGTGAACCTCGCCGTCGCCGATATACTGGTGATAGTCTTCTGCCTGCCCGCCACGCTGATGTCCAACATCTTCGTCCGTAAGTAGACCGATAGAATTTAATAATGTGGCTCTTTAGCACCTCCTTCTTTTCTCTACTTATTTGTCGGTTGACTGGTAGAGAACACCGAATGGTGTCAATTCCACCATTGTGCGTTTTATGTGCATAACGCTTTAAATAAAAAATATAATAATTGTGCTTTACTTCAGACTTAAGTTTTTAAAAGTTTGGACCGAATGACGACGGAACATCTGCAAATCCTTTTCTCTTCAATAAGTAATTGGTATTGAAAATGTTTTAAATTTGTGCAGTGTTTTACGGTAAGCGTTCACAGTCAAGCTGAGGTGTTTAAAGTTGTAATGTAATTCAGTTTCAAGACACAGTCTGGATTGAACGTTAAGTGGAAGAAATAAGTTTTCTTTTATTATTAGAAGTAATAAACTTCAGACCCAGCGTAAAGCTCTTAAAAATACTTAATATTATTTGTAGCTCAATATTTTCAAACAAATTATTCTAAATAATCATCATAAATTAATCGCCTTTATATTTAAATAATCAAAGATTTTCTTCACATATATAATCAAATATTTTTCGTATGTTAAACATTTTTTAATAATTGTTACGAGCATATCCCAGGTTAAATTTAAAAATATCTGTGTTAAAATACGAGTATTATACGGAGTTATTAACTAGATATTATGTCAATAAATTCCAAATGTTTTAACGATTATTGTTATTAATTATTGCTTTCTTTTTAAATAAGTGCAACAAATGTGACATCTGTGTAATAGGCGTTTTTTATAACATAGTGGGGAAAAGATTTTTAATGAATTATCAATGGAAGTAGTTTGTGCATTTTTAAGTAGTTTTTTTTTATAGATAGTATCATTAAGGAATATTTTTATGGTGTAAATCATTTTTTTTTGTTTATTAAAAATTTCTGGAATCAATATAACGAGTTTAAATCAACGCAAGTTCCTATCTACGAGCGCATAGATAAACCAACAGCCAAATGATATGTATATTACGCTACAACAAATATCGCGAATGCTTTTCTGACTAAAGTTCAGGGAAAAATGAGTCTCCCTGTACTTTCGTATCACCTTGAGCACGAGGAATTAATCTCAGTAATGTGTTCGATACAAGTTCGGCGTGAAACTTACTTCGGAATTTATGGAGTGTTCAACTTTTACCGTTAAATTTTAAGTTCGTATGTGTTGTGTTTAATTTGATATCGTAGTTAGATGGACGTACACACGCGTGGAGGTTTATCTAAAGGTGATGAATGACATTGTTCAGGAGTTAGATTGACGTTGGTGAAACTACAACAATGATCTGTCATACTTATATCATCATCATACATGTGGTGGGGTGAGAACAACACGTGCTGTCAATCATGCTGTAAGTGGTATTGGCTAAGTTTTTCAACCGACTACAAAAAAGGAGGAGTTTCTCAATTCGACTGTATTTTTATGTTTGTTTGTTTTTTTTATGTTTCTCAGAACTTTCGAATGAGTGAACCGATTTTGATGATTCTTTTATTTGAAAGCTAGTGCTTCCCATGTGGTCCCATATTAATTTCATTGCTATTGGATCTTTGGCTCCGGAGATACTTAGGGAAGTCCTGAAAATGAATACAGAGCGAGGTATTTGCTTTTCGTTAATAAAAAAAAAGGAATTGTTTGCGACCGGCCCTTGTTCACCCTGCTTGGGGAAAAACACGCGGATACGGAACAATTATCTGTGGGTCATAAAAATCCTTGTCTTGTTCCTTGTGGGAATCACCATAAAGTTATCTATCATAATTATAAATACTCGATGAAAATGTAATTTTTTCATTTCACGAGATTTTTATTTTCATCATTGCATTTCAATATGTTTCTAAAGAATATTGCTTTGCAGGTAACTTGGCAGTAACTTAAATATGCTGCACATCCATAATGCATTAGCAATGCTTCCCCTTTTTCTGCAACGAAGACGCTATTTAACATTAATAGCAATGTTTCTAGTGAACCTTCACAATATTTCCATGATTCAATTCCACATGGTGAGTTTATGCTACATTTACGCGCAATAGTAAGTAAATATTTATTTTTATGTATAAAAAGGTAATAATAATGTATTCATAAAATGTAAACTAACTTTTGTATCATCCCATGAAAGGAGACGGAATAGGGATGACATAAAAAAATTATGGTTTTCAGTCCGTCTGTTCTCATAAAACTGTAGAGACATCAACTTGTCTCAATTCACTCTTCCCCATAACTTATTCGGTAAGTTGAAAGTTTAGAAAAATGAAATCTCATTAGTTTGCCCTCACAGGAGTGGTTTAGAGAGGTCAATCCACTCCATCATTTAGGTTTAAGGCATGCTATTCGGCGGCTAGAGGTCTTAGGCTATTGGTGAAATATTGAGCTTCCATTCCAGTCGAATGAAATTGAAATTAAAAAAGAAAAATTGCCTTGTAAACTTTAAATTCAAAAATGTAAAATTTTCGAAGATGGATATTCAAACCACACGAACCATGATGGACTTTCAAAACTTGGCTAAAAGAACAAAATTTTCTATATAATAACAAAACAAACATATTTAACTTAAAATAAATAAAAAAACTTAATAAAAACTATTCAATTCGTATATATTGGACTATTTAGCTCGAAATACAAGCATGTGTATTTCAAAGTATAAGTTAAGATACACAAGACGTAAGCTTTCCCTAGCGACAAAGTATGTATTTGCATTTTTCGCCTCTACATCAGTTTTTATCGTATCGTAGACACTGCTACGAGCTTCGTAGCATGGAATTGGTTTATCGCCAATTTTGTACGTCCGATACCAGTTCGCATCTATTTCCGATGACGTCATTTCTTCGTACATTTTTCGAGGAAAAACGTCTATATTGAGAGATTATTGGGTAGACATACATAATGTATGTCGTCGGAACGTAATCCGGGATACAATATGAGGTATGAAGAATTTGATGGTTCTTAGACGTAGAAAAAAAGTCTTTGGTGAATTATACCACTAGTTAAAATCTTATTTTATCTCAATCATTATCAATCGGCTTCAGAATTAGTGATGTTTTAAATTGGAACATTTATTATAGCATAAAGCTAGATAATAATAATTACTTAGTTTAGATACGTGTTTGCGATAACATAGCCTCGACTAAGAAAATATGTATTCTTGCAATGCAAACATAAAAGTTCCAATTGGCAATCAAACTAGCATAAAAACAAGATTCATGAAGGATTCTGTACATAAGTTGCGGCTACTGTTACGCCAATGTTATCTTAACTTGAAATCTAATCTGTTATATGTCACTAGTTACTTGTGTCGACAGGTGACAGTTATTTCATACGTGTTTAAAATTATACTGTAACTAGTTGAACTATCAAATGTCGGATCTCTTTACCAGCTATTGCGACTCTGATACAATAATTTATTATTAACTTCTGTAAGTCCCTTATTAAGATCTGCCAAGTTTTAAATGAGTAATGCTGGAGTTTTCAGATGCCTCCATTTTAATGGCTTTGTTATGATAAGGGCTATTGAACTTTCAAATTACCTGAGTTTGATTAAGTTAGGAAGTCTTTAATACGGCGTTAATTACTTTAATGGAAGAGAATAACAATTTTTATTTTATATTCTATAAGATCATAACAGAATGTAAGAAAATTTCTTAACTACAGTTAATTAAGGATGGTACTAGGATGGAGTAATCTTAATAAATTAGTCCTTATTGAATTTATCGATTTTCTTAAAAAATAACCGCCAATGTAAGATAACGTTATAATACATAATCATTATATTGATTCATACTAATGATGTTCCGAGTTAACTAGAACATTAAGACCTCAAGGGTCCGACCCATCTAGGGTTTATGATGTGATGATGTTTTAAAGTATAAAAGTAAACGAATGTAACAGCCTATTTAATTATATCTCACTGCTGAGCAAGGACCTCTGTACCAAGGGTATTAGGGCACAGTCCTCAACAGCACACCACACAACAATTACCTTGGCCCAGAATAATCATCTATATATTAAACTATCTGCTTCGTGCGCCCCGACTCAAAGCCCTGTCTCTGAGTCCAATGACCTTGAAACTGTGCTCTTCGATTCCCCATCAGTTTTTGGATGTTCACAGAAAATTGCGCAAGCGCTGATTATGGGAGCGACGAATTTTATAAAGTTGCGATCATTCATTTTCTTCTTACATTTTCAAAACAAAAATCACGGTTAACGCCCATATAAAATGAAGGTAATTCGTTGTGGCCTAAATGAAATAAAGCCTATGCTACGGAGACTGCGAAACCTTCAGTCGTATCGCTCCATATACACTCCGGCGAAAGCATATAAGCATATGTATATACATATATATACGTTGTTAACCCACAAACTAAATAAAGTTAAATAAACTACGAAAGCCTCGAAACATCGCACAAAGCGGAGCACCTAGTTGTGGTTGTTGAATGGTTTCGTGGTGACAAACGATCGTCCGGTTTCGGTAGCTGCTAACAAGTCCGCCAAGTCCCCCAGTTAGCCGAACTTCATGTTTCATAGCTAATTACGTCGTCTGTTTGAGGATGTTTAGAATTAGTTAATTTATGGACCCGCGATAATAGCAAACAACATTATGAAACTAAATTACTTTCCACTATTCATATTAAGGTCACAAATAGAAAATAAAAGGATAGTATGACCACGCCGTAAAATTCAAATTAAAAACAATGTATAAAATATTAGTAGTTTATATTTGTTATAACATTATATGAAGATAAAACATTTTAGCTGTGTGTTTGTAAAATGTCGAAACGAAGCGAGCTGTTGTTGGGAACTTATCTCTCTTTAACAGACTTCTAAATTCTACAGTTGAATTTTTATTTATATTTATATATTTTTTATGTTTTTTACCTCAGAGCTTTCGGCTTAGTGAACCGATTTTTATTTGAAAGCCGAACTGTCCCATGTCGTCCCATATTCATTTAATTGGTGTTGGATCGCGATAATTATCTCCGGAGTTATATAATATATAGTTGTGG